ATTTTCGAAAATCGGAGGTTAGAGTAAAGAGCCGCAAGGATGCTGTTAAAAAATGTGTGAATTTTTCTTTCTGATGGATGAGCAAATACGTTCACAAAGAGTGAAGTTATGGATTTTTTTATCAAAGCGATAGATCTTTCGGTTCAATCGAATATATATTAGACGCGTCTTCTAACGCTGATTCCGAATCTTCTCTTTTGCGGAACATTTCACTGAAACAAGTTATGAGCGTTCAATTTCCAAATTGTTTGAATTGTTTGAGTGGCTAAAATTAGCAAAAAGATCTACAGTGTAAGTGCGGATTTTCACTGGCTGTGTTCCTTTATTGTAGTCAATATACCTGATACAAAGTTGATGATCGTTTTCAAGGGTTTGTACAGCTTTTCGCTACTTTTGTGCCACTAATACTTGACTAATCTAGACTTTCGAACGCTCATAATTTTTTTCAGAGAGGTGTTTTGCAAAAAGAGGGAGCAGATTCCATGAACTATGAGCAAACAAAAAGAATCAGCGAAGTCGGTAGCAGCAGAATGAACTTCATGTCTTGTAAGAAAGACGTAAACGAAGTGAAAAAAAGAAGAATGGACGCAATTAATAACAGCTACTGACCTTTAGGTCGATTCCCATCCTTTTTAAATTGTCAAAATCTTGTTTGAGTCCTCGATTACAGTATACCACCTCAGCAGTGACTCTTCCAGGGGCAGAATAGGCTAACCATTGATGACCGGCGTCTGAACGTGAGCAATTTTTGCAAAATGATTTTTAAAAAACGTATTACTCACATTTTCCTCCTTGTTCATCAGGAATTATGACTGGGCTTACACCTGAACTCCTGAAGACCTCTCTACCTTCACCGTCCATGATAGTTATGCGGTTTGGAGTATTGAAATCAGGATACGAGAGCAGAACTTCGTAGGGAACGGTGTGGACATCTAAAAGACTATTCAAGCTAATGATATATATTGTGATGTTAACTCCCTTACCTTCCAATCCAAAATCGCTCCATAGTTGAGCTATATCATGAGCAACTCGCTTATTAGCTTCCGTCCCGGCCAAATGAGGCTCTTTAGTGAATTTGCGTAAATTGGATTTGATGTTTTCCGGTTTAATATTTGACAAAAGCACATGTGATATCGTCTCATGTACATCTGAAATAATTACATAAGGAAGAAATGGATGCATTTTGTATGATGTCCTCTCATGTACATCTAATTTTGTTTCACACAGGAGAAATGAGTGTCTTAGTGTTACACATCAAAAGCTACGGAAATTCAATGTGGGTTAGCCATATGAATTTTTTTAAAGTTGTTAAAGTTCTCTATTTGCAATAGGTTCGAGGAATCTTGACATGTTGGTGTAGATCACGGTAAAATCCGTCTAGTACAAACTCACAAATACTACTCTATTTTTGGTCTTTGAAAATGCTATAAGATACAATAAAAGAAA